TATATTTGGCTTCTTTTCAACTTCACAAACTATAAGCCACATCCTCTACCAAATCATCTGCAAGATCCTTGAATAAAAATTAAATGACTATAAAAATTCACATTACACAGGTTTTGACATGTACACAAGATAGCTAATATTATCCCCAACCTCCCTTTCCAATGTTCCCATTCACTTAGTATGTATCTTTATTTTATTATTCTTTTTTTTTTAAATATATTTTATTGATTTTGTACAGAGAGGAAGGGAGAGAGATAGGAGTTAGAAACATCGATGAGAGAAAGTCATCGATCAGCTGCCTCTTGCACACCCCCTACTGGGGATATGCCCGCAACCAAGGTACATGCCCTTGACGGGAATCAAACCTGGGACCCTTCAGTCCCCAAGCTTGAGCCAAACCGGTTTCGGCTATTTTATTATTCTTAAAGCCATTCAATAGGTGATCACCCCTATAAGACTGTGAATTTGAGAACTGGCAATCCACCTATTTACCGTGTTTCCCCGAAAATAAGACATCCTTCGAAAATAAGACCTAGCGCATGGAAAGATAAGACATCCCCTGAAAATAAGACCTAGCACATGGAAAGAAAAGACATCCCCTGAAAATAAGACCTAGCGCAACTATGGGAGAAAAAATTAATATAAGACACTGTCTTATTTTCGGGGAAACAGGGTATCTTAGTTATCCTCACTATCTAGAAATGCCCTGGCCATAATAGTCATTCAAGATACACTGTGTGATTAAGAACATAATACCTTTGTTAGAAATGCATAAAAAGCTAAAGGAGCTAAACAGGAAATCAAGTAAACAGAGGTAATTTTAAGAACACACAAAAACAGAATCTGAGTGGTAACAGAGATATTGGGTTGGGGGCGGGGTGGCGCACTGGTCTGCAGGGGCTGGAATGTCTTTGGAATTTAAATAAACTCTAATCCAGATTTTGACAATAATAAACGTTACAAACTTTAGTGAATCATGCTTCCTAGATCTCAATTTCCCCATTTATAAAATAAACTAGAGACCCAGTATAAAAAAATTTGTGCACTGGGTGGGGGATGGTCCCTCAGTCTGGCCTGCCTCCTCTTACAGTCTGGGAGCCCTCAGAGGATGTACTACTGAGGACCCATGGGGAGTGGCCTAAACCACAGTCTTGCCTCCCTCTGCCGGAGATGACGGGCAGATCAGGGAAGGTACTGCCCCCATCAACCCCTCACTGCTGCTGCCCCCGGCCTCCCTCTGCAGGAGGCAACCAGGCCAATCAGAAGGTGCAGCCCCCATCACCCCACTGCTGCTGCCACTGCCAGCCACTGCAGCTGTGAGGCCTGACTGAGCTCCAGGCCTCACCGCTGCTGCCATGTCTGCCTGCCTTTTGCGCTTGCAGCCACTGTGGCTTTGTCCAGATAGATGTCCGGAAGACATCTGCTCTAATTAGCATATTACCCTTTTATTAGAATAGACAGTATGATTAAATGAGCTCTAAGTTTACTTATATGCCATAAAAATGTTTTTAAAGCAGCAGAAACACTTATTCCTGAAAAATAGCACTGACACAACAGATATAATATACCATGAGAGATAATGTAACTCTGGAGCAAAGATATTGTATGGGTGGAATGCACAATCCCATAAATAGTTACAGGTCACATCAATAGCAGCCACAAACGCAAGAATTATATGCACACATACCTAATGTGAAAATTACTGACATTTTCACTCATTCAATAAATCTGAAAAGGAACCAAGTTCTGCCCAAAGCAAAGGTTAAGAGATCTGAAGAAAAGAGGCATAAAGGCAAGTAGAAATTATAACAATACAGATCATATGTAGCACATACACACACACACCACAAGAAAAAAACAAGAAGCATTTTTATGCTTTTTATGAATTGAAAGGCTCCTTAAAATGAATCACATAATTTAATTATTTGGGCTAGAACAAACCAGTATTTCATAACATTTTAGCAAAAATTAAGTTTCAACAATATACACATCTGGGATACATTGTCTTTCTGCCCCACAAGATGAGACTTACTGGGACACTGAAAACCAAACATGCATAGGATTAAAAATATTCATTCCTAAACTTGAAAACTGAAATAACTCATAGACCCTATAATGCAACTACATAACCAAAATAAAACTTTGCCTTAAAACAAATGAATCATCCACCTCAGATAAGAAGTTTAATGTAAGCTCTGTTGTTAGTATTATGCTAAAACTGTAGAACATAGAAGTAAAAGATTCTTGCCCACAGGACATTTCCCCAACCTACTAGTAAGTTAGTTTTAGGTTATTGCAAACACACAGTCTCATTTCTCCAACATCCTTCCCAAAAACCTAGGAAGAAAAATAAGCAATTCCAATATCCATGTATATTTCAAGATATTTTTTAAAAGTACTAGAGGTCCTACAAAACAAAAATTACAAATAAAACATATTCTTGCACTGCAGGAATGGATCAGTGGTTGAGCATTGACCTACGAACCAGGAGGTCATGGTCCTATCCTAGTCAGGGCACATGCCCAGATTGCAGACTCGATCCCCAGTAGCACGCATGCAGGAGGCAGCTGATCAATGATTCTATCTCATTATTGATTTTTCTATCTCTCCCCCTTCCTCTCTGAAAATATATATATATATATATATATTTTTTTTTTTTTTTTTTAATATCCAGATGTATGAAAACAAAATTACTGTATTCCAAAGGGCATGTTCACAAGGATAGTAAGACAGAGCACCTTGAGTGGATAATCTCACAATAGAAAACAGAAATACATTTTCAGTCATCAAAACTACAAATCAGCCGATTCTGGTTTGGCTCAGCGGTATTGCATCGGCCTGCGAACTGAAAGGTCCCAGGTTTGATTCCGGTCAGGGGCATGTACATTGGTTGCGGGCACATTCCCAGTACGGGGTGTGCAAGAGGCAGCTGGTCGATGCTTCTCTCATCAGCGTTTCTAGCTCTCTATCTCTCTCCCTTCCTCTCTGTAAAAATCAATAAAAATATATTAAAAAAAAAAAAAACCTACAAATCAATATCATTAAGAATATCCCTAGCCAGTTTAGCTCAATAGATAGAGTGTGGGCCTGCAAACTCAAGGGTCCTGAGTTTGATTCTTTAGTTGTAGGCTCCTTCCCAGCCCGGGCCCTGGACAGGGCTCATGAGGAGGCAACTAATCGATCTGTTTCTTTCACATCAATATTTCTGTCCTTCCCTCTCTCCCACTCTCTCTAAAAAGAAATGGAAAAAATATCCTTGGGTAAGGTTTAAAAAAAAAAATCATTAAGAATAAAAAAAAAATGAAACAAACCAATCATAAGACTTCTGTAAATTTTACAAAAAAGTTCATTGCTATGGGTTCTAATAGTATTTCTGACCTATCAATACATCAATCTTTCTGAAGTTTTTCAAAAGGAAGGTAAAGTGGGAAAAATCAACTGAGAGTTTCAAATTTAAAATTAAGCAACATTTCTATTGCATGTTCATGTATATAATCAATGTCTATCTGATCCTAATAATGGCGGGACATAAAATATGTCCACTAAGTTAAAGAAGAAAAAAAAGCCCCCACACCCATTAAAGTCAATTATGGAATATTCCAAGTCTACTAATTATATATAGCCCAGGAAGTATTTAATTATGAATTTTAATCTATCTAAACTTTTCAGCTCTATCTCCTAAGAATTATAGCCTAAATTCCCTTTGACATCAACTGTACAAACAAAACAATTCTAGCTCTCTTTCCCACTAAACAAGATGAGACAATCACAATTCTTTACTGGTTCCAATGCTTCATGATAGGACATGTTCTTTTCTTTAAAGCCTACCAAGCTCTTTCACATACATTAATTATTTAATTTAATCTTCCAACAATCCTAGGAGGCAGGGCAAGAATTATCATCTTCATTTCATTACCAAAACAGAAATTGAAAGACATTAAGTAGATAGTTGGTTCACTGCTAGAAAGTAGTTGAAGACTAGTCCACATGTCTTTATTCCATGTCCAATTGCATTCTACAATGTCACACAAAAAGTATTGCTAAAAATTACTGAATTTAAAAACTACACTTTTCTTACTTAATCAAACCCTCTGTAGATACAATGAGAATTAAAGATTCTAAAACAAATGCAAACAAACTAAGAGAATAGTCTAAACCAGGGTGGGAACATCTGGCCCAGAGGCCATATAAGGCCCGTGAAATCATTTGGTCTGGTCCTGCCATGGCATTAGGGGTGAGTTAATTAAATGTTTGACCAAATATAGCAGGCTAATTTTTAAGTTGATAATTTTGTATGACCCGTGAATGATCATATAAATGTCCAAATGGCCCTCGGCAGAAAAAAGGTCTAAACCAACTCCTTCCTATAACCTACCTTAAAAACCTAATACAATGTTCAAGAGCAATTCAAATACTACAATAAAAACAGATTAAAGTTACAAATAGTTCTATAGTATTCATCCTATCACATAACACACAACCAACTCTGCATAATGCATGCTTGTAGACAATAGGTGAGGTTATTATACTATATTTGACTTCAAATAAAAATGTCCTAAAACCTCCTAGTCTTAACCTCCTTTTTTGGCTTTGCTATATTCTAGTCTAGTAGTGTCCACAGTGGAGTGCACATAACAATCTACTGAAATATGGAAAGAAATTACTAGAATGCTGTCATTTTTTTAACCTGAAAATAAGAATTTTACTAAATTTACTGTATGAATTGATACTGTCATTCTCACATAAACTCAAAAATACACATATAACTGGAGTGGGGTATGCTCAAAATAGTTTCACATAAGGGATTCCTATTCAAGAAAATTTAGAAACTGGTGCTACAAACAACAGAGAAGGTACAGGAATACTAGAAACAAATGACTCTAAACTGCATCAAATAATAAAAGAATCTATTTAAGGGAGTCAATAGCCTGCAGTTGCATATAAAAATAAAGATCTTCAAATGCATTTACATAACCCATGCTGATATAAACATAACTTACCTCATCCTGGACTCCACTGGTAGTAGTCAACTTGCTCCCATCAGTAATTGTAATAATTATTGCTGGCTCCAAGAAAAAGGGGTTTCTTCCCTAAAGTCAAAAAACACATTAACCATATTAAGATCTACACATTAGCTTAATTTTTCTGAGTAAAGTCAGTTCTCAGAACAACACATAAATCCCCCTTTTTGTTGTTAAATTTTAAATATAGTGTATGGGCTCTTGTACATTTAAAAAAGTTAGAAGGAAACAAACTAAACAGAAGATAATTTTAAAAGAAGTAGGATTAAGTAGAGAAAAAGGTGGATTTTTCACTTCTCAATACATTGTTTTAATTTTTATAGTGAGCATTCATAGTTATGTGACTAAAGTATTCAATTTCTTAGAAGAGACTCCATAATTAAGTTCTAATAATTGAGTATATTCAGACATTACAAATTAAAAGAATAGATAGTATTTTCTGAGAAACTTCTTAAAAAGGAAGGCAAAATGATAGGTGAACATTACCATGTAATTTAATCCAAGAGCTAGTTCCATCGAAAAATTAGGGCTACTCTGAGCTTAGCAAAATTAATAGTAGTCCAATGCAAAAAATTATAATTACTTGGTGAAGAGTACAAAAACAGTAGCAGTGGCAATGGAACAGAGAAAAAGCTCTCAAATGCTCTATAGGTAAGATGCAATAACTATCTAACTTCCCTTCAAATCTGTAGTCAAGTCATTTTATGAATACAGCTCAGATAAACAAAAACTTATCTTTTACATATAAATTATTCTCATCTGAGACACTAAGCACATTCTGTAAAAACTATAATGGAAGGTTGAAGTTTCTAGAGGGTAAGCCTAGTGTTTGGAATCAAAGGTATTAAATTCTCAGTTATTAACAATGTTCAAGGCCAGAATGAAGCTTATTGGATATGATGTTAAAAAGCATGACAAATTTCAATGTGTATATGGAGATCTTGATAAAATGTAGGGTCTAATGTAAGTATGGAATGGAGACTAGTGTTATGCATATCTAACCAGATTGCAAGCAAGGAGATGCTAATGTGCACAGACCATACTTAGAATAGCAACTACGTAGAAGGATTTTTGCATGCATATACTCATCTATGGCTCTATAACCTTTCCCTTACACATTTATATAACTCCCAATCATTAGCATATTACAGTCATAGTCAATATTTATTGAATTTACAAACATGTTTTCAAATACAGTAATAGTGATTATAATCTAATCATCATAAAATACTGCAGGTGGAGGTCTGGTGGATTACATTTCTTGATCAAGTTACACAACTTGTAAGTGGCATATACATTTTTTAAAACTGGTGTCCAGATGGCAAAAGCTTCCTCTTGTCAAATAAAACATGTTGGATATGAGCTCTAGAGGATTTCAAATGCACAGTAGCCTTCAAATGTTATAGAAGCTTTGCAGGAATAACATATGAATTTACCTTCCCTTCCTCCTCTACATTCATGATAAATAAGACACATTTTTGAACTATTACATTATACTATATTGTCTCTAATACCATTCACCCCCAACATAAATTATAAATTCTAATAATGTAGTTATTCTCATAGATCTAGAAACAGACAATGCTCATTCCCATCTCTGAGCTTTGACTAGTTTCCTCAAGTAAAAGGCTTTTTCTTTTCCCTACCCACAACCCTCCTAACTCCTAATCATTCCTTAAGATGTCTTACCTAATAATAGACACACATGTAAATTGACTATACCTCTGCTACACCCACAGCCAATCAGGAGTATGTAAATTAACCCGACAAAGATGGTGGGTTAATTTGCATATGCAGATATGAAGCGGCTGGCTGGGGTGGGATGCCTGCTATGAGGGAGGTGGGCAGGAGCTACAGGAGCAATGCTCTGGTCGGAAGCGAGGACTTGCCAGCTCCCAGGCGGCCGGGAGCAAAGCCAGGGGAAGGAAGGCCTATTCTTGCACAAATATTGTGCAATGGGCCTCTAGTAGCTTATCATAAAATACTGAGGTTAGGGGTTTGCAGATTACATTTCTTGATTTTCTTCTTCCATGAAACCTTCCCTGATTACTCTGGTCTTAAAAAGTATACTCCTCTCCTTCTCCAAATTCTAATAGTAAGTTTTCAAACCTAAGTCAAGTAAATTTATTTACAAATTTAACATAAATAAAATATTTCTTCAAATAAAACTGGATTTGGAGTTGTTTCATGGTGTACATTTTGAATACCACTTCCCTACAGCATTTATCCTCTCTCAACAAATTATTTTAAATTTAAATATATAACACCTTGTACAGCAACGTGAATGTTTAACACTACTCTACAGTTAAAAAGTTAAGATGGTAAATTTTGTTGTGTGTTTCTACCACAATTTTTAAAAAAAACTCTATTATGTATTATTTGGTATTGTTTTTATATGTTTCAATACATTAAAGGCAAGGATCATGTTATATTTCTTCCTTGGGTGTGAACACAAAATATTTAAACAATGAGTACTTAAATATTCATTATTTACTAATTATATAGCCTAGTACTAACCTGTCAAAGTTTTTAAACTATTTAAAATTATTCAAATTTCAATAAGGTTAAAAAATGCTACCTTCACTTCCATATAAATAAGTGCTTCCCAAACTTAACACATAACTCATGAACTTGCTAGGCTACATAGGTACACTCCCTCCTGTATCTATCTGCCTGGCTATCACTATCCATTCACATTCCCGTTTGTCATTCAAACATTTACTGAAAGGCTCTAGACATTATGCATTGTGTTAGGTGCATAATACATAAGCTCTATTCTCATACAAATGTACATATCTTTGTACATATAACAGTATCTCTCCTTTACTGATCTCTACAAATACCCCTGTAGCTAAAATATTGGCAAAGGGAGCTAAAGAACACCAAGATGTCCTAATATCTTCAAAACTGCTGTATCTTGATTCCATCTTTATGTTAAAATTACTTTGGTTGACTTGCTACCTTTCAAAAACAAATCAGCAAATATCTTAAAGCCACCACAGAATGGACAAAAGACTTGCTGTAGTGTCTCTGTTTCAACTTGTCTTATTTTCTAACCAAAAGTTTGACATCCATCCATTCTTAACCTATACTAGAGGTCCAATACCTGCAGCGACTTCATCTGGAAGGTCATCAGAAAAGACATCCAGTCTAATTAGCATATTATGCTTTTATTTTTTCTATATAATAAAAGCCTAATATGCAAATTGTCCCCTCGACTGGGAGTTCAACCACTCACTATGACATGTGACCACCAAGGGGCAGCGCAAAACATGGTAGGCGTTAGCGATGTAGCACTGGCAGAGGGCTGCAGTGGAGGTGCTGTCAGCCTGATGGGCCCCAATGACAGCAGGACCACAGCAGGATGCTTGGGCAGGCGAGCAGGCAGCATCAGGCCACGATGGGTGTAAGCAGGGCCAAATCGCCCCACTGATTGCCCTGCAGACAGTGACTAGCGGCAGTGGCAGGGGGCGGGGCCACCAACTGGCTCCCAGGTGCTGAGGGAGCTGGGCAGGAGCCTGATGACTCAAGCAGAGGGGTCCGCACAGGTAGACAGCTGGGGACCTGCCCTTCCACATCAGATGCTTGCACATGAATCACTGGCCAGGCCTAGGACTGCACCCATGCATAAATATCTTACACCAGGCCTCTAGTTCCTATATAAGCACACTGAGAATTATATACACAGCACAGAGAACTGGTCATATCTATAGTAAAATAACAATAATCTATGGTGTATTAAGAAGTTTATAGATGATTATGTCAATCCAAAACTAACATACTTTCTGAAGAACCATAATATCTAAAGATCAAATTAAAATGCATTCAAGTCCAGCCAGTGTGGCTCAATAGTTGAGCACTGACCTATAAATCAGGATGTCAGTGTTCAAGTCCTGGTCAGGGCACAAAGCCCAGGCTCAATCCCAGTAAGGCGAATGCAAATGACAACAGATCCATTATTCTCATTGATGTTTCTATCTCTTCCTCTCCTTTCCTATCTCTGAAATCAATTAAAAAACCATATTTTTAAAAATTCATTCCAATTCATCAAAAAGTCTGAGTTATTAAAATTCAAGGTAAATTCAGTTACTTTTCCCTTAACAAAAAAATGAAGCTTTAAATTGAAATTTTACTATATCTTATATACACTGTAGTCTCCCCCCTCCCAGAAGCTATTCGTAAAATTACTATAATAACCATGTCCTTAATAATAATAATCTCTATATATAAAAGCAAAATATACAAATAGACCAGATGGCGGAATGACTGGTTGGCTATGACACGCACAGACCACCAGGGGGTGGACGCTCAACTCAGGAGCTGCCCCCAGCCTAAATCCCCCTATCACCCAATGGGGAACAGGGATCAAAGGGGTGGGTGGCAGTGGACGCAGGCGAAACTGGGGCCCTGGGCAACCAGTGGCAGCAGGGAGTGGGGCCAGTGAGCAGACGGAACAGCCAACCTCTTGATCCCTCCCCTTGGCCTACAGGTTCTGATAGCCTGATATGGAACAAGGAGAGGGTGGCTAGTGGTGGCAGGAGGAGCAGGGGTTGGGGGAGGGAGGGAAATGGCCAGCTGCTGGCAGCCAAGGAAGACTGACCCTGATCGCAGGCCAGGCCTAGGGACCCTGCCTGTGCACGAATTTCGTGCACCAGACCTCTAGTAATAATTTACCTCATATGACCCTAAAAACTTGGTGAAGCAAGAAAATGTTCAGAAAGATTAAATGATAGAACCCAAAATCATCTAGCTGGTAACTGGCAAAGCCAGAACCTTAATTCAACTCCAAATCATAAGGTCTTTCAGCAACACCTGAAAGTCCTGTTGGTAGCAGCTAACAATTCTACAAGGTATTCTCAAATCTTTAGCTTTAACTGTTACTATTTTAATTTTTAGTCTTAATGTTAATATTAAGTCAATCATTGGAAAATAGTCCATATTTAGAATTTGCCTCAAAATTCATATTGGTCATAAAGTTATAAACAGTCTTGTTTAGTTACAAGATCTCTAAATAAATAAATAAATAAATAAATAAATAAATAAATAAATAAATAAATAAGCAAGCTCTG